CCGGGGGGCACTGCCATCCCTCCCAGCCTGATTCCCTCCAAGCCCCCTGGAAATGATGGAGACCCCCCCCAAATCCCGAGGGGACCCCCCAAACCCGGGGAGCACTGCCATCCCTACCAGCCGGGTCCCCCTGAACCCCCAAATGCCAGGGAGAGCCCCCCCCAAAGCTCCCCAAATCCAGGGGGCACTGCCATCCCTCCCAGTCTGATCCCCTCCAAGCCCCCTGGAAATGATGGGGACCCCCCCCAAATCCCGGGGGGACCCCCCAAACCCGGGGGCACTGCCATCCCTACCAGCCGCTCGCTGTGCCGCAGAGCCTCGGGGGGCACCGGGAGCGCTCTGGGGGTGCCCCCATCGGGGGGGCTCAGCCTGCAGGAGGCCTGGGGGGCACAGGGGGGGCAGAGGAAATTTGGGAAGAAGAACGGGAAATGGAGGCCAGGCAGAAAGATCCTGGAATGCGGAACTTGGAGATTTCTGAATCCAGAATTGAAGATTTTTAAAATGCAGAATTGAAGATTTATTGAATCCAGAATTGAAGATATTTTTTTTTTTTTAGATCCATAATTGAAGATATTTTTTTTTTTAATCCAGAATTGAAGATTTTTTACTTTTTTTTTAGATCCATAATTGAAGATTTTTTTTTTTTTTTTTTTAATCCAGAATGGAAGCTCTTTTTTGAATCTAGAACGCAAATCATTACAAATCTAGAACGTGAAGCTATTTGAGTCTGGAACCTGAATATTTCTGCATGTGGTACCTAAATTTTTAAAATCTAGAACCTGAATATCTCTGATTCCAGAATCTAAAGATTTTTTGGATGTAGACAAACAAAAATAATAAACTGCATCTTGGATACAATAAACGCATTTTGGATACAATAACCTGAATTTTGGATATATAAAGTGCATTTTGGATACAGATTTTGTATCCAAACTGAATTTTGGATATAACAAAGTGCACTTTGGATACAATAACCTGAATTTTGGATATATAAAGTGCATTTCGG